GGTCCCTGAACGAAAAAATTGGGCGTGGTCGGACGTCGCCCAAAATCTCTCAAAAGTGTTCCAGGGGTGTAGCCTCTGAAAATATGACAATTTAGGGGTTTCAAAGACTTATTTAATCGATTTTGGAGTCTACTAATATATAGAAAATACCACTAGCAATCAGCAGCAAGTGTCAATATTCAAATATATAAGTATTTCCCTGTTTTTATTCTCTGCAGATATCATTCTCAGCAAGCAACAGTTCTTTTAAGAACTATCAACGTTGTGTACCGCAAGCATTAATATATTATTACTTCGCCATGCAAAAATTCAAACAATATAATTTGAATTAATCATACAACATTGTACGTTTACTAAGCATTGTTTTGTATCATTTATGTTGATTCACAGAATATTTTAATTATTTTACAGTGGAAAAACCGTGTCTCCAGGAAGAAACATTCCTGCTGTTGCCGTTATGAATGAAACGACGAAGGAGGTTGTCCACTCCATCTTGTGGCTAGATCATGGAAATGACTCAACGTGTTCATCTTTGCAACATAATGTGGCATTCATTAAAACCCACAAAACTGGAAGTACAACCATTGGTCACTTGATTAATCGATTTGGTTATCACCATCGATTATCGTTTGTCTTGAATAAACATAGCCGAGGTAATGGACATTTGGTGTATTATAATATCACGAAAGACACACCAAGGCTAAAATTTCTGCCACCTATTAACGTTAAACCGCGTGATTACAAGAATTACAGGTATAACGTCATTGCAGTACATGTCCGGTACATCCGACCCGCAATGAACTCGTTTATGAAACCAGGCACAAAATATATAACAATTCTACGAGATCCGGGCAGTCAATTTGAGTCCGCCTTTTCTCATTTTCAGTTCGATGATGCATTCCCGTTAGAGGAAAGACGGAATTTTAATACTACTGTAGATAAATTAGAACACTTTTTAACAAAACCAATATTTTACCGTGACCGATTGAAAGTGCTATCATGGGAAAATACTCCAGGACTGCGGTGGTTTTACGCGCGAAATAATCAAGCTTTTGATCTGGGGTTAGATCATAAGTATCACATGAATACAAGTATTGTGGAGAAATTTATCAACAGGTTAGAGCGAGAGATGACAGTAGTTTTGCTAACAGAGTACCTTGACGAGTCTTTACTCATTTTGCGCAAGAAAATGTGCTGGACATGGAGTGATATACTGTACGTTGCGAAAAACAGACGACCCGAAGTAGAGACTTTACCAGAGTTACTACGCAAAAAGATGCGTTCGTGGAACGCTGTGGACTCTATGTTGTATAACCATTTCAATCGTACACTGTGGAAACATGTTGAAGAATATGGCCAAGAATTCGCATCAGATTTAGCTTTTTTTAAAGAAATGTTGGTGCAAGTGTTCAACGAGTGTGTTTTAAAGCAATATAAAAAAACTACGGGACGTGGTTTTCACTGGATAGAATACCAACAAAGACAAGGATCATCCACCGAGTGTGAGCTCCTTGTTGAAACTAAAAAAAAGTTATTTAGTAGAATATGGAAGCGACAATCTGTCATGCGCAGGGGAAAAAATAGGAAAAAAAAAATAATAGCCCAGAACGTCTCAAAAGTATTTTCGGTCGTCTAGAACACAAAAATTTCGCGGGGACCTTTTATTTTTCCCCCATACAGTTGCGGCAGAAATTATAGAGGGTGCTATTTTAGGTCATTTAGGAGAACTGATATATGAATATGCATAGACTCCCCCTCGCGATCGCGAAACAGAGTCAGTGGTGTATCGAGTTTTATGCGTGGATGAACGCTATGGAGTCATTAGGCCAAAATATCTTAAATAAGCCTTGGTAGTCAAGACAGTGTAAAAATGGTAGTACTAGATTAGACACATTCTATGTAGGGCTACAGCATGGTCTTCGAAAAAAACGGAGTAGGCTAATATTGAATCTGGCACCGTATTTGAGTAGGCCTAGTGTTATATAGTATTAAGATAACTTGCGAATATAGGCCAAATCAATAAAACCATTGGACTGAACTTTTACCTCACTACCCCACTACCTCACTAACCCATTAAACACCTGTTGAAAGTCTCCTTAATTATTGTATATAAAGTCTTTGACAGGACAATAGCCAATTCATGATAAAAAAAAAGCCCAAGTGGTCAACTCCTTACATTTGATTTATAAAATAGGCTCAATTGAGAGACAGCTCGTTACTAAATATAAGTTAAGTTCTACCCCCAAAGTTGTTATATTATCTGACCAATAGAAACTCCCCAAAATGATTTAATAGCTAATGATTAGGATAAGGTGATATCTTTCAACCAATTAGAGAAAGTCCACCACACCCCAAGCTTGTATGAAAAGTAAAGTATTAGTTATCCAGAGAAGACTTCCTTCTGATACCTTGAAGGAAACACTACGTCTCACAACCCTACTTGTATATATTGTATATATCATGCAGTAGAATAGAAAGATTAAACGAAAACTTACCTTAGTTGAAGTTTGATCTGTATTTCATGAAGTAATAGTAGTGGTAGAGATGAGATACGAGCCTAGCGCATGCGCGGATCAGCATTTAACATGAGATTACCACAGGAGATAAAACATGAAAGATTAAACATTAACTCAATTTGAAGCTCAACGTATCAAAAAAGAGAAGTGATGTTAAATGTACATCCCCAAGGGAGGGAGTGGTCGGGCACATAATCTCTACCACTACTATTACTTCATGAAATACAGATCAAACTTCAACTAAGGTAAGTTTTCGTTTAATCTTTCTATTTCATTTCATAATACGTGGTAACGAGATTATTGTGAGACCTTGAAAGCTCGACTGTGGTTATCTCAATAAAAAAATCATGCCGCTCTAAACATAGTTAGAGTCCATGGTCTGAAGACAATAACAACGACACTGAAATTTAATCTAGGTTTAGGTCTGTTTTATTTGTAATAAAATGAACGTATAATAAACAAAAGTTATATAAACTACATATAACAATACCGTAGGAAAAGTATGTACAGTATCAATTAACGGTATCTAGTATCGCTGTTTGTAGATCATTGTTATATAAAATAGGTTTGTTATAAAACTTCTGAAAGGTTTCTTCTTTTGACCAGCCTGCCATTGCCATAATATGTTCCACCGGCACTTGTCTTATATTAGCAGCCGACGCCGCTGCTGTCCTAACTGAATGGGGTTTAAATACATTTACCCCTGAATTTGCTAACATTACTTTAACCCAACGAGCCAGTGTATCCTTTGAAACCTTAACGTGTGGTTTCCGATAACTAATAAATAGCTGATCTTCACCCCCTCTGACCTCTTCCGTAGCTTTAAGATATGCAACAAGCGTTTTAACCACACATAATGATGGGTCCTTTGTGTATGCTTCTAACCTTAACTGATTGCCATGGCAACCTGGCCGACTTTGTTTCAAAAGGTCAGTTATAGTAAACTCGACATAATCATCACCCAGAACCATGTTATGAAGATTTAACAAATGAATAGTCTGCAATCGACTTACAGAAGTTAAGGTAATTAAGGTAACTAATTTGTACGTTAACATTTTTAATGATAAATCTCTATTGAGGGGCACTGATCGTATGTATTGGAGCAGGCGACTTATATCCCATATATGCTTATACCTTGGTTTGGTAGGCCGGAGATTAAACACACCTTTCATAAATCGTAAAATATAGGGATGTTTAGCTATCACCTGATTGTTATCAAGCATTGCAATTACCGAAATAGCGCTCTTAGCCGTATTAATAGAGCTATACCCAATTCCGTTTTTAAACATGTTAGAAAGGAATTTTAGCACATCCTTTACATGCGGACGCACATAACTAATTTTCCCTTCACAACAAAAATTAATCCATCTTCGGATATATGATTGATTTTGGGATTTTGTTGATTCCCGCTATGACGCGAGGATGATGCTAATAGCTGGTCCTGATATGTTTTCGTTTTCGAGTGATTTCCTGATCAACAGCTACTACATCTTGTGGTTTTAGCCTATATGGATATGGGACACTTGTTTGAATTGGCGGTGTAGATTCAAATTGCAGCTCATAGCCTGCAATGACGTTTAGAATATTAGCGTCAGAAGTGAGATATTCCCATTCTAATATTTTAAATTCAATTTGGCCCCCAACAAACGGTTTTGTAATACGAGGAATACTTGCCTATTCTAGCGCTTCCTGTCCGGTTGGCGATTTTTTTTTCCGTACGAAACATTTGCATGAAACTTCACTCGGGCCATCTCGGATTGACTCGAGTGAGTACGATACGAGGAACAAGAGCAGACACTTCGCAATGTCGTGACGCTCGAGTTTTACTATTATTGCTCTTTCTATGTTTACCTACGGTAGGCCTATGAAATCTCACGGACTTATGTGATGTACGTCACTGTGTAGCTAACTGTGACCTTCTTGGATGTTATTAAATGTTAGTATATTATCTACAACAACAGCAGCAGCGTAGTACCTCCTGTTATAAAGTGTAGATGGGTAAAGTTATACCAAAGGCTACAGAGAAAGAGGAAAAAAAAAATCGCTGCCCGCTTGCGATTTTTTTTTTCCGTACGAAACATTTACATGAAACTCCACTCGGGCCGTCTCGGCTGAATCGACCCGAAAATCTCATTGCAGAATTCAGGAGGTCAAAAGGTCATCAACAGATAAACGTCTGCAGAACAACTTCTGAGGGAACGTCGCTGTCTAATTTTTAAAAATACATTGATGTTACCATGTTAATACCAATGGGTCGTTTAAAATTACATATAATATTTGATTAAGCTCCACGAGTAATGAAAAGTGTTATTTTAACTTGAGTTACATATGATAATTTTAATTTTTTAGAAGGCCTGGGTTTTGCATAATTACCTAGGCCTACTAAAAACGCTTTCTGGGAAAAGCACAAAGAGTAAGGAAAAGCGCGTTTTTCTTCATCTGATCAAATGAAACAGAATGACAGTTATTTTCAAATTAAGAGAAGAGCTGAGAATAGGCAGCTCTAAAATACTGGATGCCATAAGACCTGCCAAAATGGCAAAACATCAAATGAATGTAAAAATGAGCTAGTTATTAATATTAGGCATAGTAATCATGGCAGCAGGTTCTTGATTACAAGGCTAGACCAAATTAATTACATGTAATGCTGAAATGATAATAATAATAATAATAATAATAATAATAATAATAATAATTATTATTATTATTATTATTATTATTACCTGTACGTTAAGGGGAACTTAACGCACAGGTAATACTTAAGACAAAGGGGAAATAACACAAAAAATATTCCCCTTGGGCTAGTTATTATTTATAGGCCTAGTAAATAGTATCTGTAGGTTCTTCATTTCAAGCCTTAGGCCAAGGTAATTATATGCTGAAATGATGATTATTATTATTATTATTATTATTATTATTATTATTATTATTATTATTATTATTATTATTATTATTATTATTATTATTATATTACTATTATTAATTATTATTATTATTATTACCTGTACTTTAGGGGGAACTTAGACAATGGAGGAATTAGAGAACAATTAAAAAAACGACGTTAAGGGGAAATAACACAAAAGATATTCCCCTTGGGCGATTA